CCACTTCTCGACTTCTTGGTAAGTAGCTCCTCATCCCGACCCCCTGCCTCCACCACCCCCAGCTACCTTGGTCTCTTGCCCTGGCTCTTTGAGATCTTCCCACCTTTGGGCAACTAAAAGGGTAAACCTAGTCTAGAACCATACCCCAGCATGAAAACTGGCATCCACTCTGATCCCTATTGATTGGTTCATGCCAATTGTTAAGTCATTTGAATAGCAGCACTGAGAGCTTATACTTAGAAGCAATGGCCATAAACCAGCTCTCTGCTGTGGCCCAGGAGTGCAGTGGAGGATGGCCCAGGTGCTTGGGCCCTGCACCCCAGGGGAGACCAGGAGAAGCACCTGGCTCCTGCCATCGGATCAGCGTGGTGCGCCAGCCGCAGCGCGCCGGCCGCAGCGCGCCGGCCGTGGCGGCCATTGGAGGGTGAACCAACGGCAAAGGAAGACCTTTCTCTCTGTCTCTCTCTCTCACTGTCCACTCTGCCTGTCAAAAAATAAAAAATAAAAATAAATAAATAAAATAAAATAAAAAAATAGAAGCAATGGCCATAAAAACTGTGGGGCCCTGAAGACTATTAAGAACAACTGTGTAGATCTACTGTCCTTCTCCAACATCTGTTTTTACTCTCTCTTGTCACTTATCCGAACACGATGGACTCTTTCCCTGGCCATTATTTTGGCCTGGCCCTCTTTGTCACAGTGCCTATTGTGATTTCAATTTGCTTCTCAAAGCAGCACGTGTGTTAACAATTCTTTGAATACAGTTCAACAAGAACAAAGCCTTCTCAGAATTGATATATTAACTTAAAAAAAAAAAAGCCAATCCAAATTTCTAAGACTTCTGGTAGGATTATTGAATATACATGAAGTAGAGGAGAAAGAAATTTTAAACATAAGAAATTGAGCCCCCTCCCAATAAGAGTAATGTGAGAAGAAATCTGAAAATGATCCCTTAAATTTGGGCTACAGGAAGAAGAATTTGAGAAAGTCCAGGTTGTGTCGGCCTTCTCAGTGACACAGAAGCTGCAAACCTCTCTGAATTCCAGCTGATCTCAGGAACGTGGATGGCTGGGCTTGCATGGCCCCACACATGGAGACCGTGCAGTTAAGAGGCCCAGCTTCTGAACAGACACAAAAGTCAGAGCCGTGGTCACCAAGACCACGGAACAGGGAGATTTTAACGAGGTCACATTTTGAAATCAAATAAAAAAATAGTCTGAGAATAGACAGTTGGATTTCATGGACATGGGAGAGGGGGCCTTGGAAAAAAACTGTTCCTGAAATACATAGGTTTTGGGGGACTTGACATCCACAAAGGAAAGAAATCAAAGAAATAACCACAGCCTTGCGTGGTCAGGAAGAGCCACCAGGTCTTTCAAACCACAGGCTGAGGGCTCACCCTGGGCGGGGGACTTGGAAAGATCAGAAGAGGCCGGCGCCGCTGCTCACTATGCTAATCCTCCACCTTGCGGCGCCGGCACACCGGGTTCTAGTCCCGGTCGGGGCGCCGGATTCTGTCCAGGTTGCCCCTCTTCCAGGCTAGCTCTCTGCTGTGGCCAGGGAGTGCAGTGGAGGATGGCCCAGGTGCTTGGGCCCTGCACCCCATGGGAGACCAGGATAAGCACCTGGCTCCTGCCTTCGGATCAGCGCGGTGCGCCGGCTGCAGCACGCCAGCCACGGCAGCCATTGGAGGGTGAACCAATGGCAAAAGGAAGACCTTCCTCTCTGTCTCTCTCTCTCACTCTCCACTCTGCCTGTCAAAAAAAAAAAAAAAAAAAAAAAAAAAAAAAAGATCAGAAGAGACTTTCCTGGCTCCAATGCTCTTGTTTGGAAAACTGACTATACGCCCACATAGTAGTACAGTCCCAAAGTAGAATACACGGTGGCCAACAGTCTGGTACACAAAGGCTGGTATTTGCTTTCAAGACATTCTGAGATCTAATCTGATGAGCTTTACCACGGTCCCTTAGGAAAGGTGATGGATCTACATCCTCTAACCTGTAATTTACATTCATCTCAATGTGGCGATGAGTTTTGCTTTCCCCATCCCTCTTACTCCCAACCTGGTAAAGACTGATCCTAGAGGAATACATTTAAAAGATGTCAATGCTTTGTTCCTAAGTAAATGACTCAGACATGCTACAAAGCATGGCGTGATCATTGTAATAACAGCAACAACCAACATTTATTATTCATTCAACAAACATTTATGGGATGCCTCTTACATGCCAGGCTGTATTCTGGGCAATGGGAGAAATGGCATCGGAGAAGGTCTGATGTTTCCAGTCTAACCTGGAGACGAGAATGAACAAAAGGGCTATGAAATCACTACAGAGAAAGATGTGATAGACCGCGACAACAGCAGGGGAGGGAGGGGAATTCTGAGAGGGCTTCTCTGCAACAGTGACGTTTGTGATGAGACCTGCAGCCAGCACTGCAGAGATAAGGCTGGGGCTGGCGCCGTGGCTCACTCGGTTAATCCTCCGCCTGCGGCGCCAGCATCCCATATGGGCGCCGGCTTCTAGTCCCGGCTGCTCCTCTTCCATCCAGCTCTCTGCTGTGGCCCGGGAGGGCAGTGGAAGATGGCCCAAGTGCTTGGGCCCTGCACTTGCGTGGGAGACCAGGAGGAAGCACCTGGCTCCTGGCTTCAGATCAGTGCAGCTCCGGCTGTAGCAGCCATTTGGGGAGTGAACCAACGGAAGGAAGACCTTTCTCTCTGTCTCTCTCTCTCTCACTGTCTATAACTCTACCTGTCAAATAAATTAAAAAAAAAAAAAAAGATAAGGCTGAGGAGGTAGAAAACACACAGGTCTTGAGACAACAACTAGGTTGACTTGTTCTAGAATCAGAACAGGCCAGTGTAGCTGGAATGTGATGGTCAGGAGCCAGATCACCCGGAGCCTTGAAGGCCACAGAGGGAACTTGAATGGCAACCTTCAGGAAACGGAATGACGTGGTAAAGCATTTAAGCTCCGGCTGTGGATGGAGAAGGGGTCATAAGGACTCAGGGGTGGAAGACTAGGCAGCTACTTCTGGAAGAGGATGGCAGGAGGGATGAGGTCAAGAGGATTCTGGAGGTGGAACCGACAGGAGGAGCTGATGCATGGGTTGCAGGAGCGGAGGGAAGGAGAGGTAAGGAATGCTTTCCTGAGCCCTCACCCAGCTGGCGTGCACTAAATAAGCCTTTGCATCCAAATATCACATCCGATTTCCAAAACCAAAATTATTAACTCCATGTTAAGGATGAGAGAGAACGCCATCACAAAGAAGTAGAGTAACTTACCCACGTTCAGGGGGGACTAAGTGGCAGAGCCAGGGCTAAATCAAGTATTATTTCTAGAGATCTCAATCCTTACCAAGGTATGACTTTATATAACACAGGATAAGTTAATACTCTAGGAATCTAAAAGTAGCATTGATATTTTCCTGTTGGGCACATTGTTTCTCTCTCTCTCTCTCTCCCTCCCTCTCCCTCTCCTTCTCTCTCTTACCCTCTTTCAGAATTTAGCCCTACAAGTTTCCAGCCAAAGAAGGAAGATCATTCTCACTTCTTCTATAATCACAGTCATATCACCAAATGTAAGCAGAGTAGCCATCCCTTATACATGAGGAACATGCCCCAAGACCTCCAGGGGATGCCTGAAACTACAGATCTTATTGAACCTTCCTTATTTGTATTATTTTCCTACATGTATGTACATACCTATGACAAAGTTTAACACATAAATCAGTCATAAGAGATCAACAATAACTAATAATAAAACTATAATATAAAAGAAGGCATGATGAATATAGTGTGTCTCCTTCTCTTTCTCCAAATATCTTATTGCACCTTCATTTTTTCCTTTAATAGAAGCACTTCACAGCTTATCTTTGGCATATCCAAATTGCCAGCATCACTACTCTTGTGCTTTGTAGCCACTATTAAGTAAAATAAAGCTGACATGAACACAAGCCCTTCAATACTGTAACAGTCAATCTGATAACCAAAACTGTTAATTAGTGACTAATGGGCGGGTCATATACACAAAGGGATCATTCACATGGTGGGCAGGATGGAGCCAGAAGATCCAAGATTTCATCAAGCTACTGAGAACAGCATGTAATTTAAGTTTTCCATTGTTTGTTATTTTCCACCCAATATTTTCAGGCACTGTTCACTGTAACTGAAACTAGAAACGAAGACCACAGGTAAGTTCCTGGATCCTGGATCACTTCGCTGTGATCTTTTAATCCAAGTCCTTAACACATCTGTCTATTCTCTTAGCAGATAATGTCCACACTCAGCTCAATTTTCATTCCTGCAAACCGTCCCCAGATCAGCATTAGCAAACACAAATCTCTACTCTTCCAACATGTTTCTTCCTTAAAAAGACAACACTCAATGGCTTGCCTGCTACAATCAGCTGTGATGCCAACCAAGCACGAGTGGTTAGAACTTTCATTTGATAGCTGTTAAGTAGCTGGGCTGCTCACAATTTGTTCCAAGCCAGTTCAGTGCTGGATGAATCCAGGGAAGTCTGTTCTCCTCATCTAAAGCCCAAGCAGAGCTCAGATCACCAGGAGTCTGACGGGCATCCTAGACGAGGTCAGATCTAGCTAGAGATTTGAACCCTGGATTACATAAAGCAGCATGGAGCCGAGTCCCCCTTAGAGAGCCTGACTGAGCTGATTAATCCACACCCAAGACTGAAAGCACTCAGGCAAGACCAGGCTGCCCCCAGAGACACAGGCAACCCAGGAAAAACAGTTTGTGCAGTAGCTGACCAGTGTGCCTCTGTCTGAGCACGCGTCCCTTTCCAAAGAGCAGGGAATGGCATCTTCCAGCTTGCTCTAGTTCTTTCCCTTTAGAGGAAATTTCATCACAGCAGGTTGGTTGTACCATGACAGATGAGAGATTTCCATACAATTGGCTGTCATGAGGCTGTAAAATGCTTAGCAGCTCCTCACTTCTCGAGAGCTCTACATGTACTAGACCTTCGTAATGCTTCAAAATTTACCTTTTCTGTTTACTGCTCTCACTCCCAAAGTGAACATCAGTCAGGGCTGGGCCAGGTCTATGGTAGGAGCCAGAACTCTATCCTAGTCTCCCACGTGGGTGGCAGGGGCCCAAGCACGTAGGCTTCCTACTGCCATCTTCCCAGGAGCCTTAACTGGAAACTAGGCAGGAAGCAAAGCGGCCAGGACTAGAACTGGTGCCCCAACACGGCGTGCCGGCATCACAGTTGGCCACCTCACCCCACTGCATCACAATGCCAGCCCTTATTACATACCACTATACTTGTCATGATTTTATGGCCATTTTAAACTTTACTTTATTTGAGTGAGGGCTGGCGCCGCGGCTCACTAGGCTAATCCTCCACCTTGCGGTGCCGGCACACCAGGTTCTAGTCCCAGTTGGGGCGCCAGATTCTGTCCCGGTTGCCCCTCTTCCAGGCCAGCTCTCTGCTGTGGCAAGGGAGTGCAGTGGAGGATGGCCCAAGTGCTTGGGCCCTGCACCCCATGGAAGACCAGGATAAGTACCTGGTTCCTGCCATTGGATCAGCGCGGTGTGCCGGCCGCAGTGCGCTGGCCGCAGCGGCCACTGGAGGGTGAACCAACGGCAAGGGAAGACCTTTCTCTCTGTCTCTCTCTCTCACTGTCTACTCTGCCTGTCAAAAAAAATATTTGAGTGAAGTTGAGCATCTTTTCCTTTGGTTATTGTTTATAGCCATTGCTTATTTTCCTTTTGAACTATGCTCATTTTACTTTTTCCTTATTGTATTTAGTGGAGCATTAAGCCTTTGACTATAATGTAAATTAAAAACATGTCATCTCAAAAATAATATAAATTTAAATATATTAATAAAATATTTTAATTAAAAATAACTCATTTTATAAACTCTTTTCTTCCTTCTCTTTTAGATGGTATTTCAATTTTTCAATCCCAAGATATAATTTCATTTAGTTGTGGTATTTATAGTTCACTAAATGAATACAGAACCCCACGAATAAAATGTATATTTAATTACAACAATGACATGAATATTTCTACAACAACTTGAATTTCCCTAGCTCAGTCTCTTTTCCACCATTTATCCCCAAACAAAAATTCTTTCATAACCTTCTCAAATAGAGGAAAGTTGATCTTTGCTAGAATCAAAGTATCACTGAACATGAAAATAAAAAAAAGTGCCACACAGAAAGTAATATACCAGTGAGCAATTAAGAATATTCCTAGGTGGATGTCTTTGGCCTCAATCAGTTCAGCATTGGTTCATTCATATTTCTAAACTTATTTGTCTGCCTACTCCTTATACACCAGTGAGGCTTCACACATAAAATGGAGATAAGTAAGCATAATTATCTCATGGAGCTAAGGCTTGTGGGGATTAAATGAGACAGTTAGTGTAACGTACTTATTGCTGTGTCTGGCATAGAGATTCTGAATAGAACTAAGGGTAACATTGCTGACAACTGTGGCCACTGAAATACCATGATAAATGTTACTTTTCATAACCTCAGTTTGATCAAAATGTAGTAAGATAGATAGATGGATGGCTACAATAGGAGTGCAAGGTGGCACCAAAAATACAGAAACAATTTTCTAGAACAATCTAGATTTCCAATATTCTTCTCCATTGACAGACTTTAGTTCAATACAGGTCTACTTACCTTATTAATGAAATACAGTTTCTATAACTATTATAAAGATTTAATTAAAACAAGAGAACATTGAAGAGGCATTAGAAAATCTTGCTTTTAACTAATGCAAAGCTTTGTTGAAGAGCCTTATGTGCATGAAACCATTAAAAAGTAAGATGACAAGCATATAATCAGGCTCAACTGCTTAGAGCAGACAAAAAAAAGTACAAAAAAAAGGCTTTAAGAATTATGGAGAGATGGAACTTTATGAAGAAAATGAGGCTTGCACTCCAACTTCATTGGGTAGGAATTTCATGGCAAGAGAGGGTGTGACAGAGAAGAGACTGAACAATATCACATGTGGAGAAGACAGTGAAAGTACAGGTCCACCTTCAGATTCGGATATTGTTTACTTGGAGATTAAAGGGGAAGCGTTCAGAGACGTGGGAGAAAACAACTCTTCGAGGACTGTGGGTGCACAGATAAGGACCAGTATCTTCAGGCTGTTGCTCCTAAGGCAGGTGAGAAAAGGAATTCACTGATTCCTGGAGAGCTTAGAGGAAACTGATGGTTTAAATACATTTTTGTTAGCTACACATCCCCTTGCATTTATTTGTTATGTTGAGCTTTGCAAAGTTCTCACCCTATGGTCTGGCTTTGAGTTTCACCTGCTGCAGCCAGAGATCAGCTGTTGAGTGAGCTCCCCTTCTGGCCCAGGGTTATGTCTACAGTTCAGTGTAGTCAGTTCTAAAGCACTGGTTGAGAAGTCCACATCTCAACGTGCGGAATAACAGCACTACTAATGGAACTGAGCCTAGAGATGTAAAACCTGCCTTGATTAGGGAAAGACATGTGGCTAATGCTTTACCATGAATGACTGATTGACTTTCTTCCTTCTTGGGATCTGATTTGAGACTCTGAAGCTAAACAGCAGCCCTAACATCATGGACTCCCTCATGGAATAGATGATAGGCATATAACAGTGGTCTAGAAGCAATCAGAGGAAGAGAACTGCAAAGCATTAAGGATTTTTTTATTGTCCAATAATATAAAATAGTAATGGATGCCTTCTGATTATGGAAATTGATGTATTGTAATACACACAGCTCTCCAAGAACATGTCCTACTCCCACTTGTTAGAGGAGCAAAATGTTCCCCTCTAGCAGATCTAGGAAATGTTTGGAAATCATGCATGTGAAGCAAATTTATTGGACCCCCAATTACCCTTTGGCATTCTAGTCTGTCGTGGCTACTCTTGGCAAATCAGGCAGTCTGGCTTTAAGTGCGGTTAACAGCACCACATAGATGCAGCACAGCCCTTCATGGCCATAAGACTACGCTCTTCCCATCTGGCAGAAACATAATGCTTTCAATTTGAAGAACATCTTGACTCTGTTCTCTCTAACCACATTAACAGTTTCTTTTCGTAAATCCCTCCAACCTCCTCATCACTGAGTTTCAGCAAGGTAACTGAAATGCTGCACATAGATGAAGCTATTTGCCTCCCATCAGCTGGGGAGCCACGACCTGACCCAAGTAGTCATTATCGGGAGCCACAACAGACTTCAAAGGTGGGAGAAAGACTTCTTGGAGAATGACATCTGGAAGAACCAATACCAGGGGAGTTTATTTAGACAGCCATGGAAGCAGACACTTGTATGAAACATCCTATGATGATGTTACTCCTGAAACTGGAGAGATCATGTCTATCCCTAGGAAGACAGCTGAAATGTAACTCATAGAAAGAAAACTGAAACGTAGCTGGCATGCTGGCACTGGACAAGGATGGCTGTGGTGGAAAGTTGTTTTTAAGGGTGATGTGTTGGTGAGAATGTCATCATAATTAGCAGGTGCTCTTGAAGGAGAAATGCTCCCAACATGAAGAAACCATCTTTCAGAAATTCCTATCTTTATTGCTATCATTCATTTTTGGCCAAGAGACATTTAGATCTCTAATTTATGGACCTAGTTGGAGATCCTCACCAGAAGGAAGATCCCTACAAATTATGCAGAACTGCAAAACATATTTTCTAATGTTTATTATTTACTAACTTTATTCAAAAAGCAGAAAAGCAGGGACAGAGAGAGAGAGAGTGTGTGTGTGCATGTGCGCTTCCATCTGTTGGTTTACTTCCCAAATGCCTGCAGCAGCCAGGACTGTGTCAGACCAAAGCCAGGTGTTGGGAACTCAATCCAGGTTTCCCATGCAGGTGGCAGGGATACAACTACTTGAGACATCACGCTGCCTCCTAGGGTGTACACTAGCGTGAAGCTGGAAGTGGAAGTAGAGCCAAACTCAAACACAGGCACTTCAACGTGGCGTGCAGGCATCCCAAGTGGAGTTTTAACCACTACACCAAATGCCTATCCTTTCCCTGCTTTCGGCATGTGGGAATTCTGGTTTCTTTGCCAATGCCTTCTGAGTTTCGTTATAAGACCTCAGATCCTGTGGTACAGCAATCTGTGTAAAAGACAAATGAACTTCCTTAATAGCTGAAGTTGAAGAGCTTAGCATATGTGATGCTCTCTCCAAGGTACTGATTCCCATGGGGTTTGTGTCCTCAGCTGCCACAAAGTCTCTCTCTGGGCCTGTTTCTATCTGTGGCATCTTGAATCCAGAGCTCTAGATCAGTGCTTCTTCGGGTCAGAGCTGTGGTGTAGCAGGTTAAGCCTCCGTCTTGCAGTGCCAGCATCCCCAGATGGCTCTGGTTTGGGTCTGAGTCCCAGCTGCTCCATTTTCGATCCAGCTCCCTGCCAATGCTCCTGGAAGAGCAGTGGAAGATGGCCCAAGTCCTTGGGACTCCTTACCCACATGGGAGAACCGGATGAATCTCCTAGCTCCTGATTTTGGTATGGCCCCAGCCCTGGCTGTCATGGCCATTTGGGGAGTGAACCACTGGATGGAATCTCGCTGGCTCTCTCACTCTCTCTGTAATTCTGACTTTCAAATAAATAAATTAAAAATAATAAATCAACAAATCAAATAATAAAATAAGTGCAATCAGTGCTTCTCAAATTTTAATGGATTTTCAAATCACCTGGACATCCATTTAAAATAGGAGCCTTATGGACACTCAGTAAGTCAAGCAGATGAATTTCTGCTCTACAGAATCTAAAATGTTTCAGTTTCATTACCTGTGAAATGCTCATTGGGAGTAAACGATTTCTTGGTGGTGAGCAGCTTTATTCTCCTAAACAACTTATGAGGGAGGAGTCATTACTGTGGTAGGCTATCCTGGGAAGGAGTCTGGATCTGGCTCAGGAATGGGCAATTGATTAGTAATGTCTGCCACGTGTTTCAGATAGAAAAAGCATGATAGGCATGTGACATATAAAAAGTCGAATTTAGATAATCCCTAAACTTCCTCATTTCCATGAGTCTTGGAATGAATAGTTGTGTTTAGACCCCTTGGGAAAGAGTGGGGGAAAAGTCTAATGAAAACAAGCACCTTAGAATCTCAATAACTGACAATTGTGGGTTTGTCTGTGTATGTGTGTAGCAGGAACAGTTGTTAAACTCAGACTTCCTGGTTGAGCTTTTCTCTCGAGAAGTTCCCATAATAACACATACCTCTAAACTGCTGGCCTCTGCCAGAGCGGC